GTTGAGTTATATGTACCCCTAAATTTGGAAGTTGTACTGTTCTCCTTAACTGTGGCACATCATCATCAATCCATACAAGGCCCTTCTTACATTTAACCTGCACATTCTTTACCTTATCTAACCTCTTACTGCCTTAATCCTGAGGCTACCAATATCTGAGATTTCTATTCTATGAAGGTTTATCTTCCCCAGGACTGTTTTAGGTAATTGACACTTATATACACTGACTTTTCAGTTGGGTTTAAAAGTATTCCATCTTATCACAAAATAAATTAATTAAAAAGTGCTGGCAATTAATAGAACATTCATATTTTATTTACATACATAACCAGATGTGATTGAAATGGGCAACAGTTTGAAAAGCATAATGTAAAATTAAGTATGTACAATTCAAAAGCATTATCCTTATTTTTAACTTCATTTCCACTGTAATTCAGGCTCTAGGTCTCAGAGCTACTACACTATTTTTATTTCAGTAACTTAGCATAATGAAGATCCTTTATTGCCACCTTAGTAGTTCAGGAATAGTAGAGGGGATAACAATATTATCATAGTGAAATTATTTGTTACATTTTAAACAGTGAGTCAATGATAGAAACAGTCTTAAGACTCTGTGTATCCAATTTCTTCATTATACTGTATGTATGTGGCATTATACCTGGGATTGAATTATTGATGTGATAAATCTATTTGAGTCTTTATCTGCATTCCAAAGAATACATAAAATGAAGAGAGAATTAGCTATCTACTAAAATAAAAGTTGGTGTCAACCAGTCTTTATTGAATATAAACAATGTATATAGGACAGGACAGGATATAAATGCAGCAGCAATCTAAAAGTTAGAATGCTAAAATGTAATGTCATAGTCTTTTCTGTATGGTATTTTTTTTTGTATCAAGGCATATAATCCACCTAATTTCCATCTCATATCTAATAGATTTTTATAATTCACAAATGTGCTTTAAAATATCACTGAATAAAAATGGTACATGTGTTTGGTTTTATTCAAAGCCTCTTAATAATGTAAGAAAATGAAATTCTTCTCTCAGCCCTTTTTCGATAGATGCATTTTAAAAAAACAACATAAAACCCCACTTCTGTCTATAATTTAATCTTTGTGTCCTGTAAAGTCCTGCTTTTAGTATCTGCTCTCAGAAGTGAACTGTTTGTCAAATTTCCATTAAGCTGAAGGTGAAAAATTAATGAACCACTTACTTCAGATATTTCAAAACTAATGCAAGTCTGTTAGTCATGCAGCACAAAAAATCAAAAGATTTGGGTATGTTCAATTATGGTTTAGGGTTCACTTATATTTAACTATTAAATGCATTCTTTCATGTGCTTTATAGAGCATTCTAGAGAGAAAAATGGAATATCATTATTGATTTTTATTAACAGATAAATACACTTTAAAGATGATTTTATTTATTGAAATACTATTTTTAATCCACAAAAGATAATTTTAGAGCAAGGTTAATCAGTGAATTGATGGAGATAGATGGGTTTTGAAAGTTCATTTAATATTTCTGCTGGGGGAGGGTAGCAGTTCTCTGGGGAGACAGCATAACTGTTTAGCAAACATAGAATTATAACTTATTCCTCAGTTGTACCCTTGCTCAATTTTGTAGGCATTCAGAAAACCAGTAAGACAGAGGAATTGGGAGTATTTTTCAAACAATTGTTGATTCGTTTTGTTTTTCCCTTAATTATTGAGCTCCTGTTATATTTCCGACAATGAGCTAGGCATTGTGTAACATACAATGATATAGATGACTTGGCCCTTTTCTTTGAAGAATTTAGAGTTTAGAGGAGGAAAATGAAGTGTTTTTACACAGTGAGAATGTTAATTAAAAGTGACAGTCATTACAAAAAAGGTCCAGGTATATCATATAGGCCTGAAGGTGTCAGACAAAGCTTCATGCACAGAGTGACTTATGTGTTAGGCTTTGAAGGAAGTGAATACTTTAGACATGTGACACATGAGAAGAACAAGTAAAGTGGAAGGAATGGCTTAAGCAAAAACATGAGGATGTAAATCAGAATATGTAAGAGGACAGCTTAAGTTTTAGCATACAATGTGTGAGGAAGAATGATAGGAAATAATGTTGGAAATTCAAGGTTTGAGAATCTGAAAGGCCTTGAATGACAAGCTAAGGCGTTAATTAGTCGAATTGGGAGGAGGTGAAATCACACAGCATTTTAAGAAGTTTCACTTTGTACTGGAAACGTGTTAGTACCCAACATTCATGAAACCTTCAAAGTAGCAGACTGCATATTGCACATCAATACTATTTCATTTTCCCATGCACACTAAAAGCTCCAAAGGTAATGGCTGAGGGAGAAAATACATGCTGGAAAAAGCAGATGGCCATCCCATGGCTTCCCAGCCAGTGCATCCCAGCCCAGGCATTGTCTATGCTTTCAGATGTGAATCACTTTGACCTAAGGTGCCTCCTGGATCAGTAGATGGAACTGGTCACTTTTGGCTAAGAGCAGCCCTCTTGTGGTCTGCTGAAAATTTTCTTCAGTTTATACCAGCAGGCTATATGACTATTAGCATCGGCTATGTGGGCATGTCTGTCACCTGTGCAGTCTCACAGAGCCCCCTCTCAGAAGTACCCCACACTTGATTTAATACTGTGCTATTGCTATATTGAAATTTCATACTTTTTGAACAAGACATCCCACATTGTCATTTAGCTCTGCGCCCTGCAAGTCATATAGCCAGTCATGGTACCATGACAAGAAAATGGTTGGGAAACAATGAACTACTCTGTAGTCAGAATGTACTGTCATATATATCTACATAAAGATACAAAATGATCTCTATCATTCATTATGAAATTATGATACCAACACTGTGCTTATATAACAAAACAGATTCTAAGCTTAAATCTTTATTATTTTTTTCTTCAAGGCCATGACTTCCATGGATGCCATGGGCCTATGCTAAATATAATTTTATAGTCTTGTGGTTTTCCAGATGATAAATTAAGGAAACACTTCTCTAACATATTTTCTCATTATAATCTGCCTCCTGTAGCCTGGATACTAGTATCATTGAGCTCTGCAACCCCTGAGGTCCTATCAAATTAAATTCTAAGAAAACTGTTAGCAATTATTTTCCCTAATAAAAGTTCTGAAAAATATAGCACTGTGTTTGAAAACATTATTGGCTGCCTGATAGGATCATTCCATTGTGTATTTCCTTTTCTGAGTCAGTAAAAATATATAAACTGAATAAGTACTTTTTAAGTTATTTCCTTAAGCACAATTTAGTGCATTCTCTCCATCCTCTTTACTCGATGAATATTTGTGTATTTTTCTTTTACTTGTTTTATCATAATTGTTCTCTCTCCTTATTCTTAGTTAATTTTTTTCAAAGTTATAGTTGAATATAGTTCATTTAAATACTCAAATATTTCAATGAGGCTTAATTTATAGAAATGTCACCTTCTCCTACTTGTCCTTATATCTCTACTACCCTCTCTTTCTCTCCCCAAGACAAACACTTAATTGATTTTAACATCTTTATTTGTTACTTATTTTTTTATATTTACCTCCCTGTCTCTCAGTAATATGTTTGAGTTTACTTCACCATTTTTCAGTTTTATCCATTATATTGACTTACCATTCTAAAATATAAAGATTTAGCTTTCATAATTCTCTATGTATACCACTGCCTGATTTATGCCATTTTCATTTTTTGTAAACAAATCAATTTTTTGTTAAATCAGCAGTCATTATTTGTATTCTTATGATTATGTAAATATTCACATCATTTGATAGTTATACTTATTTCTTGCACAATTTTGATCCCCCTTAAGCTAATAATTGTCTCACTTTATAAATTTCTGTGTATCTAGAAACTCTTTAGGTCCTAATTCTCTGATCTTACTGTAAATATTCTCTCAATATATTAGCATGCATCTGATATTCCCATTAATTTTGTCTTCCTGGAGACCACTCTCCTCAGTCTGCTGACCTCCTACTTTCATCCTCACTAGTCTGCTGCATAGGAGCCACCCTAGGACTGCCCTTGGTTGAGATCTGCTACTTAACAATGGCAAAATTGAGTTGATTTGAAGTTCAGTATATGTGTGGGATTTATTGACTGATGGATTTTAATGTAGGATGTCTTGGGCCATGTGTTTTATTGATAGACCTGATTGTGAGTATTTTTAGATATTTTTCTATTGACCTCATCATATCTGCTGCCAGTGAATTTTCTATTGCCCTACCTGGAGGGAAGGATTCTGGGCATCAAGAGATTAAAACATCTGAAGAGTGTTGGCACTCATAACACCATCCTGTTTTAAGTATGATATATTTCTGTGCATCTGGTATCTCCCTGTTCAGTGCCTCACTTTAAGTTTTCCGCTGGAGTGAGGAAGGAACAGGCACCCATATGGTCTGGGTGTAGGGTTCAGGAGGACAGACCCCTTCACAATCAGAATTTCCTCAAATCCTCCTGTTTCCAGCTTCATCGTCACCCCTACTTTAATAGGTAGTGGTATTGACAATTCCTATGCCTTTCTGGATTCTGTCGTACAAACTGTGTTGCTTTTCAGCTTCTCTACTGAGGACTTAGGTTTTGGTCTCCTCTGGTCTGCTACATCATCTGAAATTTACTTACCTACTTTCTAAGTTCTAGAATCTTTATTATTGTCTCTTCCCTTGGCCCCTGTGCATTTGTGCTTTTTTTTATTCCTTTGTTTTAGTTGTTTTAGTGGACTTTTATGGGACAATGAAGGTAAGTGGATGTGTACAATCTGTCATCTTTAACTAAGAGATACAATTATATTTGGAGTATATTTTTATGAAGTACCTCAAATCATTTTTTCATTTTTTAATAAATAGTGTATAACTAAGAAGTAAATAAACAAATGAATAAGTATAAACTTTCCATTCATAATTTAAATAATTATTACAGGAAACTTCTCTTCAAGTGTTTTAAATTTCTGTTTAATGATTCTGTTCCTTTCACTTTTGAATACAGATGGAAGCTTTAGACAAAGCAGATCGAACCTCACCTCTCTGTTAGTGCAGCCCATCTCTGCATCCCTTGTTGCAAAACTGATCTCTTCAGTGAAAGCTAGAACCAAAAATGATGTCTGTAGCCCTCTAGAACTTCCAAATAATGGTAAAGTATTTAATGTCTTTCTGTATGTCTTACAGTTTTTCAAAAGACCATGATCATTTTTAATCTTTCAAATTGTCATGTTTAGAATTATTCTTTTCAAAATCATTGACTTTTGATGAGGTGAGCATTTATTCTCTTCTGCAGCTCTTTAATGACATTTTTGGAAAGAAATTTTGATAAAGACTGAGAGTTGACCAAACAAGAGATTTAAAAAAAAGAAAAAAAAGCATTTTGAATTTCTATAAAGAAAAGTAGCTTTACAAATAAAGCATTTTGTACATTCATGAAAATCTGCTTAACATAGCTTCCCGGTTTCAGCTTCAGCAGTCTCGTTGCCTGCCAAGATTCAGTGGATAGCAGACAGCTATCTGGGGTATGAAGTCTTTTAGTATAAAGCATTAAAGCCTAATTCCTGCAATTGACTAAAAAATCCCTCTGTCTATACGCATCGTCGCCCGAGAGATACTTCTTGTGCTGCAGCACAGTTTGTCAGGCCTTGTTGGACCACGTAAGATAAAACTGAAGTAGTTAAGCTACCTGTGGTGGGATGAAAGCCACAGGATGCAACTTATTCCTGCCTCCAGCCTTGGCATTAGAGTTCTAAAGAAGAGACTCTACATTTTGTTAAATTTGTATCTAGTTGCTAGGAACTACAACTCAAGGGCTCTGTTTTTTTATGTCCAGACTTGAGGGCTCAACTAGCAGTGTTTTATCTCATCTGTTTTTCTCCTGACAACAAAAGCATACCAAAATAAAAAATATATATATTCTCAAGAAGTCTTTTAAAAAATCTAAATACATTCAGGATTGCTCTGTTAGGAACATATGTTTTTAAAAATCCTGTAGATTGGGAGCCTCCTAAACTGATTAACAATTGAATAATGTGTGAAATATAGAGAACAATGATAAGCTAGTATTCTCAAAGCAGGAATGAAGAAGACCTCTAGCAGCCTTTTGCTTTATTTTGCTTTTTTTTCTGTCATTTATTCTGAGCCCCACAAATTGATTATGGGCTCTATTTGTTAAAATATGTAAATAGCATCACAGTATTACTTTAATTATAAGAAAGCACTGGACTTGTAAAAGATCAGATTTAAACCCCAATTTAATCGATTAATTTGTTCAATATATATTCAGAGCCCCTAATGCATTCCAGTCACTGTCCTGCCCTCAGTGAGCTGATAGTCTCCATGCTAGCTCCATAACCACTCATATGTCACCTGCCCTCTGGAAGCCTCTATTTCTGCATCTATAAAAGATAGGTATCCCTCTATCATCTTAAGAAGTTGTATCAGTACTTTTGTATACTGTAAAATGCTATATGAATATTAGCGAGTATCTTCCTTGTCAAATAACCCGTCAATTTCCTTCCCTATATACACAATAATGTCCTAGGAAAACAAAATGACACTCTCTAGCTATATGTCTATAAAAAATTAACAGCATGTATGAAATCTAGATGAAAAGTTGTAATATGTGCTGAAACCTCTTTGCAACTCTAATGTTAAAGAAGTAATGAAATAGACTTGCTTTCTAAGGAATTATGCGATATCAAGTTTTTCTCATAAATACAGTAATTATTATTGCTTTAGAAAAATTCAGACAGAACCATTTAAATTACTGAAAAGACATTTCATGTTATAATGAGTGTAAATTCTTCATTTACCCCAATGTTTTGGACAGTAATGCTTATGTTTTATTTGCAATAATTAACTTTTAATTTTTCTCAAAAACACGTGAAACATGCATTATTTGCTCACAATGATGCATATCAGGACAGAAAGTGAAAAGGATACTGAACAAGGTGGTATGCTTTCAATCAATAAGAGCAACACTGATAATTTATGGATTTAAAAAATTCAAAGCATATTATAATTATATTTTATTATTGAATTTTCTTTGTCTTAAGCTTTAGTGTAGAAAAATCTTCACCTAACAAGTTTGGACAAGAGTACATAAAGAATAAGTATGCAAATCAATTAAATACTTATCTTACTCACTTAAATATATATATATATATGTATATATATGTATATATATGTACATATATATATATATATATATATTGAGTCAGAATTCTCTAAAATGTAGAGGAATTTGGCTACTACTAGTTCAGAGACTACATTTAACACGTATGGTGTTAAAGCTAGTCATAGCTCAAAGTTCAGAAATTGAATCTTGGTCCTGTTTGGTCAGACTTGAATCTTCCTTATACCAATCATCATAATATGGTTGAGGTGATTATGTCAATAGGTTTGAACCAATCAGGATCTACTTGTAGAGCTTGGGATCTGGTCAAACCTACTCATAAAATATTGCTGATAAATGTTACCAAAAGTTCAAAAAGGGGAAGGGACAAATGGATGTTGTGAAAGCAAATGTAGTTCAAGGATGATTCAAGTCTGTCCTTGCAGGAAAAAGACTCAAGTTTTAACTTTGAGCAATGACTCTCTTTAACACTAGAAGTGAACAAGAAAGCATGTGGCACTGGGATCTTTTAACAGTCATACTCGGACCATGAGACTGTATCCCAACTGAAAATGAAGCCAACACGGGAAGCATTAGAGAGATAGAAACACCTAAAGATAGAAACAGAGATAGAAATAGAGAGAGTAAGAGAGAGAGAGAGAGAGACCCTTGTCCACATCATTTGAGTCCTAAATAAAGCCTTCTCTGAAGCCAGATCTATTGAACTGTCCATATATGAGCCAATATATTACTTCTTTTGTTTCGTCCAATTTATGTTTGGTTTTTAGTTATTTGTAATCAAAAGCTATCTAACTTATAAACTTATAAACTAAAAAAAGGGATTAAACATCTGCATTCATGAAATAGGGAGGAAGGCAACACACATAACCTATAGACATTTGTACCCCCATAATATGCTGAAATTAACAAAAAAGATCTTATTGGGGAATGAAGCCCCCATCTTTCAGCAAAAAAAGAAACATTTTAATTTGTTTGGTGAATTACTTATTTTGAAAAAAATGACTGTTTCTATGTTTCACAAAACTTATCATTAGTGATAATACGTTCCTATGTAAGTAAACTTGGAATATGTCTCTTTAAATAGATATTCTGTATTGTATCCTTATTCAATATTTTATATATTCTTTGAAGAAAATTAATTTTATTAGAATGATATAATATCTAACTGATAGTCTTATTAATAATTTTCATATATTTCAACTATATTGTTAAGATCTTTCTAATTTTTAGTAGCTGCTTATAACAATACATTATTAGGATTTCTTGAGTAGAGATTTAAAAACATTTATTGAACATATTATTATTTACAAAGTGTGGTTATATAAAACTTTATTGAAAAATAGTGCATTTTATCTTCCTAATAAATATGCATTAACAAGAAATGTTAGTACAGTTGAATTCATGATTATTTTTGTTACAGATGAAGCTATCAATCTGTTCAGAGTAGCCACAAAGTTGCTACATGTGAGAAGATCCAGGAGTACATTAAGCTTTTATGGTTTATAATGTCTTGAGATTATGTGTATCTATCTACCTGCCTGTCTGTCTATCTTTCTATATATCTATTTACCTACCTATTTATCTCAGTAGACAATGGAGTGGTTGGCTCTAATGTGGCATAGCTTCCTTTAAGTCCCAATGTAACAAGTGATAAGCCTTTTTGGCCATAGCAGAATTATTTAGCAGGCCTAAAAAATATGTAAAAAATGCAAATTTGTTTTAGAGCAAGGTGGGTTTTAATAACTTTCAACCACTAATGTAGGGGAAATGTCCAGAAAAAATGAGGAAATTTTAAATTTGTGCAGACAACTTACATATGGCATGCATATAGATTTGGTAACTGCTCTTTTTCTGAAAAAAATCAGTGAGCTAGAAACTTTTAGAAAAGACTAATATATGTGCTAATAAATGCAAGCTATATGTTAGGAGTTACTATACTGTGCAATGATGACACCTCAATTTTATGGCTCTTCAAGCAGCCACTTACACAGTGAACCTGGGAGTCTGAGCTGAAAGCTGATAACAGAGTAATCTGTAGAACTAAAGATCAGCATTCATGAGCTGCCAGTCTGAAGTCCTTGGACAAAAGGGAAAAGAGCTTCAGAATTCACTTTGAAGGACTGTTCATCAAGGATTTTAAACAGAGTGAACATAGGTGGGAAATCTATTGTCCAAAGTCCACAGAAAGTAGAGTCAATTCTCTGTTTCCTGCGGAGTGCAGATTGGGCTTACCGAGGGTGACACAGATCTGTCATTCACCCAGAACTTCTCAAGTTTCCAGCTTTCTGTCTCAACAGTTTGATTTTAGAAAAGATTCAGCTTAGATTTGGCTTAGAGGTTTTATTTGTTTGCTAAAAGACCTAAAGGCAACCTTAGATGTACATGTTTACGCAAAATTACTTTAACAAGTGTTTTCTCATTTTTGAATGTTTCTCATCAATTTTTATAGATTTTTATATTCTTATATTGTTTTTCAAGTACCTGTCACTCCTTATAAATTACGGAAACTCCAGCTAAACTTTGGAGTTTATATGTAATAAAATCCATTACAGCATTCCCTATCTTTATATTTTTATGATCTATTTTTCACAATGTGCCAACTTTGTTATTTACTAACCAAGAAACTGCCAGATATTCCTCAATGCCGTTCTGGTTCTATATCCTGCTATTCCCTCCATGTGTCCAATATTTTTCCCTATTATTCTATTCAGTATTATCCAAATATGTCTTGGATATCTGTGTCTTTAAGTGGTAAAGGCCCAGTATCCTCTAAATTCTTTAAGCTCAGTGCAAATGCCTTCTCCTCCATAAAAATCCAACTCAGGTTGGAAGTAGTCTCTCTTTCTGACTCTCTCTGCCATACCACTTGTTATTATGATATGATATTCTTCTGAAGTAGAGCATGAGCAACTTGTATTTTCATTAGAATATGTTGTTTCCTCTATATATCTATGTGATTTCAATTTTTGATATCTTCCTTATGGTCCAGGGTATGATCAGTGTTCCATGAG